TGCACATCTGTTCCTGCCATTGACAGTTTTTGAGTAACTATTTTGTGCTTTGTGGCGAGTAAAGAGATGCAGTTTACTAGACATGATTCCTTAATTTCCCCTCTATAAATGGGTTGAGTCCCTACACTACAGCACTATTGAAAGTAGGTTCCTGAGAAGAATACGTTAAGTTAGATTTATTAAGAAGCATCATCATTTGCAAAGCACTTATGTGTGTTTACTCAATTTGTTTCACAACATCCATGCAAGAATAAGGAAACTAACTCAAGGACAGAGTGATTTTGCCAGGGCCACATAATTAAAAATGGCAGAACCAGAATTAAAATCCAAGTTTCAGAATTCCTAATTTTACTCTTTCAAATATCTTGAGTTGAAACATAGATGCATCTTTTCTAATTCTGAAGAAGTTTATGCTTTTATAAATGTCATTACAATTCCTAATAACCTTAGAATTAAGATGACATGTTTCATTTGATTGGGGTTGTTTCTTTACAATGGAAACGTGGTAAGCCACTCAACCAATTTACCAGTTCTGGTGTGTGTGTGTGTGTGTGTGTGTGTGTGTGTGTGTGTGTACTGTGTAACAGGAATGTGTTCAGCTGCAAATGACAGAAAAACTGATTAACAAGAATTTAAACAAGATGGGAATTTGTCTCACAAAACAAAAAATCCAAAGGTAGGCAGTGCAAGCTGGTGCATCAGTTCCATCATTTCAGAAATGTCCAGATTTCTTTATCTTTCCACCACGCTGTCCTAAGTGTTTTGACATTTATCCCCGTGCTTGCAGCCTCATAGGGACACGACTGGAGTACCACATCTACACACGTCCTCATTTCAGGCAGGACAAAGGTAGCACAAATCAGACTAACCATCTGAATGAGCACAGCCCATCACTTGAAGCATTTTTATAACTGTTCTTGGAAACTGTAACTCTTCAGAGACAGTTACATTAGGCACATCAAGAAAATATATTTTTTCATTTACTCTTAGCTTGCCAGGTGCCTCCTCGCCAGCGCACTCCAGACAGTGTTCTGTACATGCAGATCCAAGGAACAATTAGGCAGGCCCTTCCTCTCTACTAGTAAGCCTAAGGCGTGACAAACAACTAATGTGGAATGTAATAGGTGTATACGTGTATGTGCAACATACTCTGGCAGCAGAAAGAAAAAACACACAATTGATTCTAATTAGGACATTAGAAAAATGCTTTCTTTGCAAAGAATTCAAATGAATGCTATACTATGGATTTCAAAGTTTTGCTTTGAAAGACCATTGAAGTATTGTTTAAAATATATTTTATTGATTTCAGATAAGGAGGAGGAGGAAGAGAGAAGTAGAAACATCAGTGATGAGAGAGAATTATTGATTGGCTGCTTCCTGCACAGAGATTAAGCCCGAAACCCGGGCATATGCCCTGACAGGGAATCAAACCCCTGGTTCATAGGTCGATGCTCAGCCACTGAACCACACCAGCAGCCAGGCACCACTGAAATATTTTTAAACAACGGACGTTTAAGAAGTCATGTATTTTGAAAAGGTCTTTCTGGTAGCCATTGGAATAGGTAAAAGACTGAAGGCAAGACCAGTTGGCAAGCTATATAAATAATTTGGGTTAGAGATTTAAGGGCCTTGACTAGGTCAATGGTCATGGGAGTCCAGAGGAAAAGAATCAATTGAGGTCTGGTTCAAAATATAATGTTTGATGATCGTCTGTTCTTCAGTCTTGGCTCTATATATCATTATGCAATTTTTTAAAAATTCATCTTCTAAAGATAGATTTTTCCACACCACGGGGGGGTATTCTAAAGAACTGAGTTGCACAGATTCAAACAGTAGGTGAGTATGTTCTTTTTCTCTAAAGACAAATCAAGAAGCCTTATTTATGTAGACAGATAGAGTAGATAGATTAGATAGATAGATAGATAGATAGATAGATAGATAGGTTTTGTAAAGATATGGACCCAGGTCTTAGTGATTATCTGATGTTGAGTAGTATCCAGAGTTTAGTTTTTTCATCTTGCTAATCTGCATTTTCTATCTTTTTCTATAATGACAATGTATTGTTTATGTAAAAAAGAAAAGCTATTTTTTTAATAATTTCAAAAGCTATAGTCATTAAATCTGAGGTGTTTTAACAATGTTTTTAACAATATCAACATGGCTAAAATAAGTTTATTTCTGCAAGTGTGCTACTTTGGGACAAAGCTCAAGTTGAAATGTGAAAAAAGATGATTTCTTTTAACAAACAAACCAAAAACTCACTATTTCAGAGCTATTCCTTATTAAAGTATTGGTTATAAAGCACTCCTAAATGGCTTGTCAGAACTAACTTCACTACTGTTCTCTAGATTAGTATCACTTGTAATTTGGTCTCCTTTTCTTCTGTGGAAGTAACCACTTCTCTAACCTTCCCAGCCCTCCCTCCCCCAAACTCCCATTCTCCACGGGCATAATTAATGAACACAGGCTTTCCATCCGGATTTAGGAATATGAAATATTTCTCCTGACTCATTCCCAGTTTATGTTTGGATGCCACCACTATTGCACTTCTCGCCGACTCTTGCATAGCTGAAAAGTACACTTTTGTACAGAACTCTCTGTATGTCCTGCTCTCTCTCCCATCTGGGCTGCCAGAAGCATGTTGGTGGTGGTTGGGAATGTGTTTCTCAAGCCCACTGGTTCCCCTGGAACCCTCACTGCAGCTTTCCAGGGCCCTGTCCTCTCCCCTTCCCCCCGCTCAACCCCCACCTCAGAATGCAAGCCCACAAAGGAAGGATGGGGTGGTGCACTGAAAGCAAGCTATTTAATAAAAAGCAGAAGAAAACATCAACAAATTAAAATTTCTGACTTGCCTTATTCTGCCAATATTTAAGCATTTTTTCTATTGAATGTGACTGAGTGTACAGACATACATACTTCTATTTAGTCTCACACATGAAAAGAGAAAGCATAAGGCATGCAATTCTCATCCAAACATTTTAATCACAAATTTCTAAATCCAGTTGAAAACAATAGAAAAGGAACATTTTCCCCCTAGTATTCTATCAACCTTGCTTGGTAGCACAAAATATATTGAATTGTAGTTAAAATAAAAGCTTCCATTTGTAAAATAGCATTTACGTTATTGCTGTACCAAAAGATCATACTGACTTGCTAAAAGTATGAAATAAGTGTAGGTGTCTTTGTATGGGATAAGTATTTCAGAGGCTTAATAAGGAAAAGAAAATCCTGGAAAATAATTTTAAAAAAATATTTTAAGCCCTAACTAGTTTGGCTCAGGGGATAGAGTGTTGGCCTGCGGACTCAAGGGTCCCAGGTTCGATGCTGGTCAAGGGCATGTACCTTGGTTGCAGGCACATACCCAGTTGGGAGTGTGCAGGAGGCAGCTGGTCGATGTTTCTCTCTCATCGATGTTTCTAACTATCTCTCTCCCTTCCTCTCTGTAAAAAAATCAATGAAATATATTTTTAAAATATTTTAAGAAGAATGCTTCAAAGTAATGTATTTATACATAATTTCCCTCCAAGCCTAATTAGCAATGAAATACTTTTTACTGACTATACAGCATATACTCCATACCTTTTGCTAATATTTTAAAAAGATTACTGCAACTATATTAAAACTAGAAAGTTTTTTTCTAAATGAAAGTTATAATTTAATGTTTATAAGGCAGTATTGAATACTACCGGTAATTGTTATATTCATTACATTGTTGCCTCAGATCTGCTTGTTACAAACTTTGGGTTTGAAAAACATGCAACTTCATCTCATGATGCACTGTAACTTAGTTACGCTAATAAATGAAATATGTAAAAAAAAAATAGATAAATGCCATCCCATCCTTCAGTTTCAGAGGTATTTTTGGTTCTTATATTTGCATTTGGGTATCCTTGATCTGAAAATTCAGTCATCCTCGAAACAAATAAGAAAGCCACAATCTAAAACCCTGAAGGCCTGAATGCCCAGGAATTCCCTATTTTCAATAGGGGATACAGCATTTTCTTACTCTCCTTTCATCTGGTCAGCAGGTGTCTCTGCCCCAGCTTCGCGCGCCCCCCCCCCCCCAACTCCCATTCCCAGAAAAGGAAAAAGAGGGGGCGATAAGAAAGGAAAGTAAATTGTCTTGTTGGCTTGGTGGTGGGGATAACGGGTGTTTTAATTTCACAACTGAAAGCTTTCCTCTCCAGTTTTAAAGTTCTTACCCATGGTAATGATGTGACATTTTATGGATTACGCAGCGGAGTTTGGGTCTGTCCATCTGTAACTTATAAAAGGAAAGGAACACGGAAGGGATAGAAGGATTGGAGGCAGTAAAAGGATGCAGGGAGAGAGCAAGATGCAGGCGTGGGAGCGGGAAGGGAGAGGCGGACTTGGCAGTGAAAGGGGTTAGGAAAGAACAGGAATGGAAAGTGTGGCCTGGCCCTGCGCTGGCGAAGGTGGAGCCTTTGACGTCTCACTCCCCCCTTCCACAGGCTTTTTCTTCGTAGATGGGGGTCCTCAGGACATCTAGAAAGGATCGGCCACATGGAGAAGAAAGGCTGTCTCCTGAGGATGCGCAGGCAGGGGACGCAGGCCTCTCTTGGGACGAGGGAGGGGGCGGCAGGGATCAGCAGCGGTCCGGGACAGCCTGGTGGGCGCAGGGGAGGGGAAGGCCCCAGCCCACATCCTGAGGGTCTGGGGGTCCCCAGCTCGGCGGTCCCTGAGCTACACGCGCCCTTTGGCGCTCTCCATCCATCGCCAACCGAGTGAGACCCTCCGGTAGGGACCCTCCACGCCGTCTCGCCAACACTCCGCAAACGTGGCATCCTGGCGTAGGCGGCGCACCTCCACCCCCGGGGCCTGGGGATGAGCGGGTGGGCGGGATGCGCGGCTGGCGCCCCAGACTTCCGAGTCCGGAGCCCAGGCGGCGGGGGCGGCGCGGGGCTCCGGCGGCGGAGCGGCGGGCGCGCGGGGGCGGCGGGCGGGGCCTCGGGCGCGGGGCGGGGCGGCGGGGGCGGCGGGGAAGCGGGACCGGAGCCCTCTCGCGGCCGCGGCGGCAGCAGCGCCAGCCCAGCCGCAGCCCGGACTCCGCCGCCACCTCGCTCCCGCCGCCCGAGCCGACATGAGCGAGGCGGATCGGGATCGGGTGCCCTCGCCCGCCGCGCCGCCGGCGGTGGCGGCGGATGAGAGGAAAGGGAAGAAGGAGAAGGAGCCGGAGCGCGAGAAGCTGCCGCCCATCGTGTCGGCGGCGGGCGCCAGCGCGACTGCGGTAGGTGCCTGGCGGCGGCCCCGGGACACTCCCATGACGGGCATGGGGAGGGAGGACCAGGGGCATCCGGGGGCCGTGCCTCCTCCGGGATCCCGGCAGATGCGCCCAGGTCCCCTTCCTGGGGCCGAGTGCGAGTTGTGCCTTGTGGACCCCCGATCTCTTGGCCAGCCGCACCTTCCACCCTCGGGAAATGGGGTGCCCGGGTCCGCGGGCCGTTCTCCGTTATTTTCTGGGTGGAAAGGTGCATTTTCTCTAAGGACCAGCACCTTGGAGTGGGCGTTATCTGTTGGATGAGCTAAGGCGCCAGGCAGGCGGGAGTGGGTTTTCCACTGAGCTGCCTGCCTGCCTGCCTACCTCTGAGAAGCGGAGATTTGCTCCTTTTCTTCGCTTTTCTTTCCTTCCTCCTCCCGACTGAAGGGCTGTGCGGCGAGTTTCCACTTCAGTGAGACAGACCTCCGCGCGGCTGTCAGGGAGGTGGGAGGCAGATGCCTGGGTGACGGTTTTCTTTTTCCTGCGGTGCAGACCTGTGGGGGGGAGTGCGGAGGCCTTTTTAACCTGTCTGTTTAAACTGAAGTTGCCTAAACTCGGCAGGGATGATTTCCCAGGTGGATTTTCTTACGGTTTATGTGATGAGCGCTCTCAGGCTGCAAATGCATTTTGCCGGATGATGTAATGGCACAGCCCCCCTCCCCTGTTTTCACCGGTGGCTATGACTCTGTTACTTGGGAGCACACAAAAATATCTTATTTTTAAGATTATTATTTGAAATCATATTTATACACTTTGAGAGTTTGCTTCGGTCCATTTAAAGATCATCACTTGCCATGCGGCTGCCAGGGACAAATAGGAAAAGTTTGGAGAGCAGGACACGTTTTTTGTTTTTGTTTTTTAATTCCTCCTTGCAATTCGTTCCTTAAACCCTCCCTCTTTCATGACTAAAAACTTAAAATAACTCATTCTTCTTTACAGTACTGGGAATGATGTTTTGATTTGGTAGGTTTTACAAAAATGCCTAACGGTCATGCTAACTGGAAATTGTTAGAATGAGCTCTTTACGTGAAAGCAGCGCAGCCAAGTGGGCAGTAATAAACGACACGTTTTAAAATGTAGGTCCAGCTGATCGGTAAATTGGAGTTGGTTAGGAATCACTTGGGGAAATGCTTTGAAGGAATATGTCACCCATCTGCCGGCAAACCCAGTTCCTTCTGTTGGTACCCCGGCTTCCAGAGAGGATCTAGGGAGTTAATAACTTGCAAATAGCTTGTGTTTCCACAGTAGCTGTTCCAAATTGATTAAAACAATGCATGCATGTGCTTTCAGAAACAGGTACCTGAATTGATGTAGGTCCTCAAGTGATCACCCTCCCAAAAATATTCATTTATCTCAGTTTAACTGAAAACTTGCCGGTTTGGAATAAAAACTTGGAGAAATTGATTCAGTGTGGATTCAGGTTACAGACTGTTATCTGAAACCCTGGGGCTTTGGGATTCAGAGTTTTTCAGATTCTAGAAAGGGAATGGAGTACATATATAATATCCAATATTCATCATAATCAAGCATATTGAGAGCTCTTCAGTGAAATCTAAGTGTGTTTATGCTAAATGAAGTGAAGTCAGAGTATAAGTAGCTTAATATCAGTTCAGATCAGGTTGGATTGTCAGAGCTCAACTAAGGTCTCTTTTGTCACCAAATGAGTTACAAAACCCTTTTATTTTCAAGAGCTTATAGGATTTTGAAAATGTTAACGGATTATGGATTTGTACTACTAGTGAAACAAAAGAAGAGTTCAAGTTTTTTTAAAAAAATTTTTGACTTAAGCTTTGAAAAAGATAGACTAAATTAGGAGATTATCAGGATAAGAAAAACTAGAGATTCTGAAGGCAATTTCTGGTACTTTACAAGGTCTTTCAGGGATGGTAGCATTTTTTCCCCTTTTTTTTTTTTTAATGCATTTAGAATTTATGGGTCTTTGAATTGACAAGTTTGCCATTAGCACCGACGTTTCGAATCATCACAGGAGGGAAAATGACTTTTTCTCAGGTTTTGCAGCAAAAGTTACAGGAGCAAGGGGAAGATGAGGAATTTGATGAGGAGGAGGAAAAGGAAGAGGAGGAGAAGGAGATGTGTGTATGAGTATATGTATTTGTCAAAGAGAGATTTCTAGAGCACGAAGTCTGAGTTACAGCAGTGAAAAGCCTAAGTCAAGAAAATATGTGCTTGGTCCTCTAGGGCGAGGGAGCCAGGACTGCTGGGATGGTGACCGAGTTCACCAGCAGGTGAGGAAGCCTTGGTGTAAGGGCAAGGAAAGGCAGCTATTAGTGTCTGGTTTGGTTTTCAGCCTTCACATGGATTAAACAAGAGCTTCTTAGAGTTTGCTTAGGAACCTGATTGCTATTAATAACTTTTTTCTTTGAGTCATTTTATTTTTAAATATATACTTAAACTTTTAGAAATATATGTTTTTATTGGTTTTAGAGAGGCAGGGAGAGGTAGAGAGGGTTAGAAACATCAATGATGAGAGAGAATCATTGATCAGCTGCCTCCTGCACGCCCCTTCTGGGGATCGAGTCTGCACCCCAGGCATGTGCCCTTGACCAGAATCAAACCCGGGACCCTTCTGACACTTTATCCACTGAGCCAAACCAACTAGGGCTAAAAATATATTTTAATAGATTTCAGAGAGATAGAAACATCAATGATGAGAGAGAATCACTGATCTGCTGCCTCCTGCACGCCCCCTACTAGGGAGCAAGCCCACAAACCTGACCAGGAATTGAACCATGACCTCGTGGTTTGTAGGTCAACACTCACCCACTGAGCCACACCGGCCAGGTTCTTTGAGAAATTTTAGTGATTCTTCCTTTTTACTCCAGGTTAACAGCTCTGTTTATGTAGATTGTGTTTATGACTCAAATAATGTAGTCCTGAAGTACTAGCTTTTTCCCCCAAATTATCATGTTTTAATGAAAGTTTGGAAATAATTTAGAGTGGTAGTGCCCTAAAATAGCTAGAAGGTCAGGTTGTGATGAGCCTAATTAAGCCTGAAGAGTTAGGACTATATCCTGGAAATTTAAAAACAGGTGCAGGGGTGGGATTGATGGTATTGGCAAGAGGAGACCTAAAGTGATTGATCCTAAGATCACCAAAGTGTGAAGAAGTCCATTCTAGCCAGGAAGTACCTAACACAACAGTCTTAAAACTGATGGACCATAGAGTTACCTTGGTAGGATGTTAAAGTCCTAATATTACAGATCTCGTGCTAGAGTGCCTTATTTCAACCTTTGATGCACAGTAAAATAACTAGGGGAATTTTCAAAGCCATATTTGTCCAGGCCTAAATGTAGGCCAATTATATCACTTTCTGGGCATGGGACTCAGGCATTTTTAAATTTTTTTCCAGGTGTTGCTAAGATGGAAAATTGACGCTTCATGTACTGAATTAGAAGCTCTATGAAATCTGTATTTTAAACAGATCTCCCCAAGTCTACATGGTTTGGGGAGCAGCATTTGGACTGGTGAAAGGTATGGAAGCACAGCAGAAATCAGGTGTGGTGGGGGAATGGCGAGAATTAAATCAGTTTGAGTTAGAGATGCCCAAGAGGCTCAAAATAGAGCCCTCACAGGACTGTCAGTGTCAAGGTTGGCCTTGCAGCTGTGGGGAGATGATGCCAGTCCACTGAGTGGAGAATATGGAATTTGAAGTAGTGCATGGGAATGAAGGTCTGATGGCGTAAATATTGAATCTACTGAAGTTGACAGCTTCGAGTGGAGCCGAATATTGTAAACTATTATAGTTGCTGATGTAACACAGAAGTTAAAAATATTGGTGGATGGGAAATGAGAAAATGGTCAAAGGAGGAACAGAAATAATAGTGACAAGTGAGGATGAGTTTGTCTACTTCAACATTTACATCAGGTAAGCAGGGAAGGGAGGTTTTCCACAGGATGGGGTAGCAAAGAATGAAGTCATGTTCAAGAAAGAGCTCAATTTTCCTTAGGTCAGGAGGTCAAGGGCAATGGAGGAAACCAGTTTGGGATTTTAAAGTGAAGTTTCCCACATGAAGACCAGGAGATGTGTCAAGTATGTGGACAGTGAGGGGAAGAATTTGAGGGAAAGAAAAAGGGCGTGGAGAGGTATTGATGGGAAGTCGGTAATAAGAATGAGTAGTCCGTATATGTTGTGTTGGATGTACATCAATGGGCTGTGGAGCCACTGTGCCAAAATGTGGCTACCAGTTACCATCTATTGTTCAGCTTCTGGGTAGATGTTACAGAAAACACAAAGAGAGGGGACTTTTTGTTTTCGTTTTCTTCTGTTTTTCAAAAAATGTTCAACTTCAGGGTGGGCAGGGCCAACACATGACATCACAAAGCAGTGTGTGAAAGCCATAGAAACATTCTGAGCCACAGAAACAGTTTGCAGTAGAGGAAATCAGAGAGAGGGCACTGTGCACAGCTGTGCAGAAAGGCCTGATGTAAAGGTGGTTATTAAGCTGCTGGCCATCAAAGGGTGATAGGACTCGGATGGGCAAAAGAAAGTGGGGAAAAGCAACCCAGTAGGGAAAGCAACATGAACAAGGCTTAAAGGGGAGAACTGGGGAGTGATAAAGCAAGCCCAATGGAAGCATGCTGGGACTGTGTGGGCCGTGGGTAGGACTGCATGGGGGCTGGAGCCAGATCACCAGGCAGAGAAATTTGGACATTTTTTTCCTGTGGTTAGTGGGAAGCCACTGGAGTTTCTTAAATAAAGGAACAGCATAATGAAACCAGTGGTAATGGTTGGCGGTACTTAGACTGGAGGGGGGAGGAGGAAGGGTGTGAAGGAAAGAGCTTTGTAGTTAATTCCTGAGTTAGTTGATGGGTACATCCACTAGGGTGGTAGCGATGTGATCAAGTGTGAAGGATAAAAGAATCTTTATGATGTGGAACCTAGCTAGATAACAGGAATGAAAGAGAAGGAAGCTTAATGAAAAGATGCTAGAGTTTCTAGATGAGTTCTG